AAGCCACTGTTCATAATCTCTCTTACGTGAGTAGCTGTCTTTGTATCACCTTAACTCTTGGACCTTTATTCCAGGGATCTTGAAAAAAAAGTTAGTCATGCTGTTTCTTGGCATTTGCAGAGGCTAAAAACATTTGGATATGATTTTGAGTGAGAGATTTAAAACAAGACATGAAAAAAATATTCCACAAATCATTTTACAGTAGAGTGCACACATAGAAGTATAAATTCATGTAATTCAAAGACCTCTAAAGCTCAATCAAAAATACTTTTGAGGGAAAAAAACTTCCAATTACCTGTCAACATCAATAAAAGTACTGCTTTCTATTACAAATCAAGTTTAACATACCTGCGGATTTTCCAAATTTTTTAAATACTCTTCAAATGGCCCCTCTATGAACTGTAAAAAAAAAAAAGCAGCAGTAATTAGTTATTTTGATTAGCACAGCATATGGAATCCCCAGTCTATGCCCACTTTACCAACAGGAATGTACCATTGGAAATGAAAGACTACCCTGCCCTCAAAAAGCTTACAATCTACGTATCAAATGATGTAGAGATGAAGGAATAAAAGGTCAAACACGTAGGTCTGCATTGCAGAAAATAACCGTATAAGCAGCTTTTGAAGTCATCACGCAAGCCAAAAAAAAACCAAACCAACCAAACAAAAAGCCCCAAAAAGAATTTCAGCAGCCAAATGAGACATCTGAAAGAAAGCAAAGATGCTGTCAAGAAGATGTTTAGGGGCAATTCATCCCAGGCATGCACAGCATCACTAGAGAGAGCATGCGTGGGCTTATTCAAGTATCTTGTTAAAAGAAACAGGCAGCAATGGACAATCAGGAATGAGTCACATTCCTGTAGTATGAAAGCAGCGATAAGATACAGTATAGCAAACTCAAAGTTTTTTCAAGAACAGAGAAAGATTCTGCAGTAATAAAGATGTCAACTTCAAACTGTTTCAGCCATCCTGGCCACAGAGAGGCTGGATTTAAAATTTGCTATTTAGTCACAATCTGCTGGATTTAGTTAAAACAAAGATCCACAGAGGTCCAAAGAAAGACACAAATCTCTTCACAAACTTCAGCTACAAGATAATAGGGAGAACTGAGTGGAGTAGTGAGATTAAAAGCTCTGCTTTAGCCATTTTGAACCTCATTTTGGACAGTGTTGCTCATGAGAAGAATCAAAAAGTCTGGCCCAAACTTTTAATTTAGATGGAAGTAATCAGGTGTGAAGCTAAAAAGGTGGATCAGTAAAACATGATCATAGTCAGCACTTGCTTTTTGTGTCAAAATTAAGTGACATAAAGATAAAGCATCGAGGAAGAAAGGAAGGGCACCAGAAAGTTCTCACAAGAAACTTAAGAGTTAGATAATAAATGTAAGACAGCAGCAATTAAAGGAAACACTTCAAGAAAGGATGAGAAAGGAAATGAAGAAGGTGGTTACACACCTGAAACTGTGGTTATAGCAGTATCAGTGGAAGAAAAGAGACACAAATTCAAGCTGAAATGGTTACAACAGACAGAGAGAAGAGTAAATAGTCAAACTAAGAGATTAGGGAAAGAGGCATTTGTTGGTTTTAGACTGTTTGGGCGCTTAGGGTTTTTTTTAAGAGAGATAGGATAACAATGCTGTATTCCAGATGGAAAGCACAAAGTATAGTAAGAAACACTGGCAGCAAAAGAGATCAGCAGAGCTGAAGCGAGGTACCCGAGGGAGGAAGAACACTGGGAAAGGAGAACAGATATGGAACACCTCAACCTTTCACATGAAACATCTATTCTAAAAAATTACAAGAAACATTGAAAAAGGAGACTTTTCAGAAGGACTGCAGAGGCGGACAGAGGAGAGGTCATACCACTTGGATCAAGTCTGAGGAAAGAAAGAACTGTGAGAGCAGGAGTCTGGAGGAGAGAGGCCAAGATAGTAAAACCAGCTAAGGCTGACAAAGCAGTCATTTGGATGAGGATGCCAGAACTGGGGATGGGAAACAACACACGCTTAAGCGTCAAGAAGGGCATGGTATTTCAAAACACTACACAATGCAACAAGAGAAAAGTAGCAGAGAAGCAAATATTGGAGTGAGCAGGGTAATTCTGGAAGGAAAGGGATTAAAAAGTCAGCAGTGAAAAAAATTAAATAAATAAAATAGGAAGAGAGTTGGTTAAGTCCTGAGATGGACTGGAAACAAGCCAACAGCCCTGGCAAATGGAAAGAGTCAAGTCAGAGCTGCATTGTCCCAGAGAGATTCACTCTATTTAATGTCACTAATTCCTGAAAATTTCCGCTTTTATGTGATCAGTCATATTTGACTATAGGGCACTTTGTCAGAAATCACAGCACAGGCACACACTCTTATTCCAGCTTTCCATCTCTTCCCTATGCCAATGTGCATCTAAAACAATCTCTTTATTTTGGGTCTGGGTAAATTTAGAACAGAAATAGAGAGCTGAGTAATAATCCTCTTGTAACAAATCCTTACACGTACTCTTGTTTTGGCTATCCTGGAAATTAGATAAATGGCATACATACTAGAACCCACCCAAACACAAAAAGGAGCACCATTATTTATTATTGCTCTTTTAAAAGAAAGAAAAAAAAGAATATTTTAATGTTAGCACTGATGACATTCACCAAATATAGATCAATATCAAAATATTTTACATCCATGATTGATGAAAAACTTCCTTGCAGATGTTTAGGGAAAAAAAAAACCTATGGTACCAATGCATAACAAACTGCAGACCCTGAAACAAATTACACTAATCTCATCAGTTAAATCCCTTTTATATTGTAAAAGCAATTAATTACCACAATAAGAACATGTTATGACTTTTATTAAAATAAGCATTATACTTAAATAAAATCCAGATTTTGGTAGCTTCACTATAGATTATTAAAGTTTAAGTAAGTTTGCTCTTCTTTTTTAATGAGCATTAAAAACATCTTCCACCCCACATCAGTCCAGTCCAAGGAGCACACAAGTCTTTCTCCAGGCTTATGAAAATGAGTTACTACCACACATGTGCCAATTAATTTAAAGAGCACTCACTTTAAAAACCACCAACTGGTATTTAGCTATGATGAATACTGCCACAAACAGCAGAATAAAAAAGTGCAAGGAATAAAGTAACTTTTTCTTTTTTTTTAGAATGCTCACAAAGAAAACAAGAACACTTACCGCTTCAAATTTCTCCCTATTTTTCCGAAGATAGTCTACACAAGCCATCCTAACATCAATATGCCGAGACTGAGAGTGCAACACCTACAAAGGGAGAAAGAGAAGAAAGTGACACTGGATCTTAGGAGTTTTGATGACAGGTCACAAATAATTAATGACTGTTGTCTAAATACAGGCTTGGAAATACTCTAGTTTTATTTTCAAGAATATTTAACATGCATACTCATCAGTAACATCATCTTGATGTGAGTGAAACCTCAATTAATTTATCAAAAATTAAGTAACTGCAGAATTCACAGATTTACTAAATTCAGATGTTCAATTTTATGAAGATTTACTAAGCAAAGTGACTAGCATTTATTGTTAATCTTTAACTGACTGCTTGGTAAAGGACTTCAGTTAATCAAAGAAGTAAATTACAGCAGGAGTGGATGAGGAAACCAACTACCAACATGCACTCATTCAAATGAAATCCAACCAAATCTCAGAGAGTGCAGGTTTACTTTCTCCTGACTTTTAAAAAGCCTGTTGCCCAAACACTCTTTTGAAAGCCAGGAATTCAGATCCTTATATGACACCTGCATTTTACCTCCTGTTCAAATCTGTACTGAAAGGCCATTACTTTCGTCCCAGGTTCCAAGCTTTGTCTAACAGGACTTTGTCTGCACCTTCACTACAACATAGAGAATTTGCAGACAATTCAGGTTGCAGCATCTCTTGCAATTTTTACACACTATCCTCAATATAAAACACTTCCAAATTCAGTTCAGGTTTTCTGAATGAAGAGTAGAGAGACCAAATTCATGCATAAGCACTTATTAACTTGAATTAAAGACCTTCTCTTCTTACGGGTCATTTCCAACCTAAATGATTCTATAATAAAATAAGAATGGGATGTTAAAAATTTAATAGTTGGAAAAAAAGTTCTATCAACACTGGAGTGTGAGAGAAACCTTCTGTGTATTAAAAACATCAGAATATCAATATATATTCACTGATTATTCCCTTGAAATAAAAAAAAACACTCAATTTCAAGTGCTTGCTTGCCTACACTGACCAATGCAGTGGGGAAAGTAATTTAAGAAAAAAAAGTGAACTGTGTATAATTAGCACAGGAATCGGGGCTCCCACAATCAGAAGCACCAGAGCTCCCACTGCTGTCTGCTTGTACTTAAGACAAGATGACGCTGTCACTTTTTTCCTTTAACACCAACACTGAAATGGGGGAGGGGAATTCAACAGGACGAACAGAAACCAAATTACTCGCTTTCTCTCATTTTATAGTAAACTAATTAACAAAACTATGAACGGGGCTTTTCAGCTCTTTCCCACTAAATTCCGTTTCCTAGAAAGCCTCATCCAAAGCAGCTGTACTCCAATGTTGAATTCTTACACTGAAAAAAGCTCCGAGGAGGCGGTGGAAGGTCAAAACAGGTAAGGATTTCTCAGTGAGAGGAGGCGGCTGTACATGCAGAACTTTTCTCACCTCGCAGGACGGAAATTACTTTAACAGTCCTGTTTTTCACCGGCACATGACCATGTAACCTTAACCTACACCTGTCTGCGTTTTAACACCAATTACCACCCACTAATGAGATCCACTTCCCATGCTTTCACGACAAGAAGGAGCTTTGTTTACGTAAGGAGTTACCTGCTCGGCCACAGCCCTGAAAAGGCAGGATCCATCCTTGGCCACCTTCTTCCTGTACAAGCCCTGAGATCGCAGGTAGCGGTCCATGGAGGCGTCCCCGGGGGCGTCCCCCCCGCCGCTGCCGGGATGGCTCTGCTCCCCGCCCGCATCCATGTTCGCCCCGGAGAATGGCCGCTCCTCTCCTAGTCCCACATGGCCAGGCGGACCCGCGGGGCAGCTCCAGGGCCGGGCACAGGTGCGGCGGCGGGTGTGGGGGGCAGCGCCGGCCCCCCGGCACCCGAGGGAGCAGCGGGAGCAGGGGCGGGAGCAGCAGGAAGAGCAGCAGCCGGTCTCACGCTGTCCACTCGCATGTGGGAACCGCGGGGAGAAGCGGCAAACTTTCGCTGCGCAGCCTGGACTCCCGGCTCCGTCACTCCCGCGGCTTCCCGGTGGCTCTGGAGAAGCGGGCGGCGGCTCCCGGGAGCGGCTCCGAAGGGTCCCGGTCCTGGAGGCGGGCGCGTCCCGAGCGCCGAACACGCAGCCGGCCTGCGGGCGGAAAACAAAAGGGAAAGGAAGGACACGTGCGGCCCGCCGGGAGGGGAGGGGAGGAGAGGGGAGGGCACAAACAGGAGCGTAACCTGGCGCTTATTTTCACTTTCAGCCCGGGCGCTTCTGGGAGCGGTAGTCCCGGAGGAGGAGGGAGCGGCGGGAGTGGGACACAGCGCCGGGGCCGAGCTGTCAGCCCTGCTCCCGGCCAGGCCCATCCCATTGCTTTTTAGTTTTATAACCAACACCGGGCTGATGGTTGAAACACCCAACACTGAGCTGGCAATGTGCACGCGCAGCCCAGAAAGCCAAAAGAATCCTGGGCTGCATCCAAAGCAGTCTGGGCAGCAGGGAGAGGGAGGTTAATTCTCCCCATCTATTCCACTCTGACGAGACCCCACCTGGAGTGCTGCATCCAGCTCTGGGGCCCCCCGCATAAGAAGGACATGGAACTGTTGGAGCAAGTCCAGAGGAGGCCACGAAGTTGATAAGAGGACTGGGGCACCTCCCCTCTGAAAACAGGCTGAGAAAGCTGGGACTGTTCAGGCTAGAGAAGGTTGAGTGCAGACCTTATAAGAAACTTCCAGTATCTGAAGGGGGCCTATAGGGAAGGACTCTTCATCAGGAACTGTAGTGACAGGACAAGGGGAATGGGTTCAAGCTCAAAGAGGGGAAATTTAGCTTGGATATGAGGAAGAAAATCTTTACTGTGAGGATGGTGAGACACTGGCACAGGTTGCCCAAAGAATTTGTGAATGCCCCAACCCTGGCAGTGTTCAAGGCCAGGTTAGGTAAGGCCTTGAGCAACCTGGTCTAGTGGGAGGTGTCCCTGCCTATGGCAGGTGTGTTGGGACTAGATGATCTTTAAGGTCCATTCCAACCACTTAACATTCTATGATTCCATGTCTGAAACATAATCCACAGTATGTGGGGTTTGTGGGTTTAGCTGGGTTTTGTTTGGTTTGGGGTTGTTTCTCCCCGCCCTCAAGAGATGGTATTGTGAGAATATTTTTTGACTCCATCCACTTGCAGGAAAGAAGATGGAAATAAAACAGAGATTGTAAAAGAAGGCTTAATTAAAAATGGATTTAAAGAAGCCACAGTCATTTAATACTTCTAATGTACTACTTTTCTTGTATGCCACTCTTAGTTGTAAGAAGCCACAAACATTTTTATTGCAATTGCATGATTAAATTTTGCTTGGCATTGTAAACAGGCTTTAGAAGGTTTTGATGCACAAAATGTGACATGAAAGGATGCTCTCCAAACTTGTAAGGCTTTTTTTTACTGTGGCTGTGCAACATACCTGGGAGGGAGAGCTACAGAGCTCTCAGAAGCACTAGCAATAAATAAGATACCATGAATTACTTCTTAGCTTAAATGAGCAAAGTTAGATGCAGGAAAGAGTGGCAAAGACAGGAAGAACAAACCCCCTGATTTTTACTTTCAGCTGACAATAATAAGACCAGGGAGGGCAGTGATTTGAGCCAAGATCTGCTTATTCAATCAGTTACTATTATATACAGAAGTTACAAGCCAGGCTGAGTCTAGTGATCTACCAGCTCCGTACAAGCAGCATCAAACCCTCTTTCTAACAGAAGCTCAGGTTTGCCAGAAAGGAACTGAAAATGAATGCAAATTCCAGGACCTCTGTAGACAAGAGGAATAGAAACTGAAAGAAGTGAAAGTAAAGCCCTAGGAGCATCTGAGAAAAGACACAGAAAGCTAGTTAGGCAGCATGGGGATGTTTGAGACAAGGAAGGCGAGATAAAAATACCAGCAAGGGGCTGGAGGGGAAGCTCAAACTTCTCACCAGAGGATGGGAAAGGTCATCTAACAAGACTGAACTATAAACAGTTGCTGCCACTGACTCAGCTACCATATTCACTCAAGGAACTCAGGCTAGCAGAGTCCTGCATGTGAGACATGCTTCTTCTGTGGAGAAAAGTAATTTGGCAAGATGCTTTTGAGACCTATCAAACTAGTGTCCAGTTACAGAATTTCTTAGGAATATTCTATTTTTCCTCAGCCTATTTGCCAGTGTTAGGGACAGAACTATCCTCTAACATGTTCAGATAGACAGAACTATCTGTCTTCCCACATATTTGAGCCTTTTGTCAATGTGATTCTAAAGGCTGGTGAGGGGGAGGGCAAATGCCTTTTATCATGTCTGTTAGACTCAAGAACACCTATATACACAAGGACATCCAGTATGTGACAGGATGTAAATGTGGTTCTGATAAGTGCACAGAAAATTACAGTAATAAAGTCATCTAGTTATCAGTGTCCTAAAAGCCTGCTCTTTTTGCAACCAGCTCCTGAAGCTGATTGAGCAATGGTGACCCACAGAGCTTTTTTTTCCAAGTGCTGCTGTACAAGAATGAATCCATTTCCAAAAAGGTTTACTTCTTGCTGAAGAAATCTACCCTGCACACAACACAGTTTCTAAGGCTCAAGGAGAAATGCATCCACCCAAAGGCACCTGAAACACCTCAGCATTAAAATAAATGCTCCATCAAGATAAGAATGACCAAATTATAACTCGTGAGTTATTACAGATGTTCTAATTAGAGCTTTTACAGATGTTCTAATTAGCAAGCAGCTTTATTAACGCTTCCAGCCACCACTTCCACCACGTGCAGCAGCTCCGGCCACGAGTTTCTCCCCTCGCTGCCCATACACTGAATCAGCCCAGGAAGCTGACTCAACCTAAAAAATTTTGATGATAAAAAAAAAAAATCTAATTTTATCTTTAAACCAAGGTCGGTTTCGTGACCCAGTTCACAGCCTGCTTTAGTGCCAACACCTGGGCCAGCAACCCTGGGGAGAGGAGGGAGAGGAGACCGGTTTTCCCCAGCCCGGCGCGCGCCCTTTCCCGGTTCGCCACGCGCCTCCCTCCCATCCCGCAGCTCCGGCACGGGCAGCCCGGCGGGGCAGGCCGGGGACAGGGGCACCGGGGCAGGGGCGGCCCCTCGGCCTCCCCGAGCAGCAGCAGCCGCAGCCCCGCGATGCCCTGCCCGCCCCGCGGCCCCCCCGGCACGGGCACCCGCGGAGCCGCGCCGCCGGGGCCGCGCTCCCGCCCCCACCCGCCCATGGCACCTACCGGCCCCCTCCTCCTGGTCTCCTCCCCCGCGGGCGACACTGGCAGCAGCGCCTCCCGCTCCTCGGCCCTGGCACTTCAATCTCCCGCGGCGGCCGCTCCTCCCGCGTCGCTCCCGGTGATGCGCCCGGTGCCAGTCCCGTCCCGCCCTCCCGCCGCGCCGCTCCCCCCCCGGCCCGCTGTTGGTTTGTCCCGCCGGCCACACCTGCGGCTCGCACCATTCGCCGCGCGGGGGGGGTGGGTGTGTGTGGGGGGGTATGTGGAGAGGAGAAGGGGCGGGCGGGAAGCGCTCCGGGGCGCTGGGGCAGCGGGCGGGGTGTGGCGCCAGGGTCGGGCTCTGCTCGGTTCAGAGCAGTCGGGTGGTGCCGAGGCAAGCGGCGGTCGTCTCATGTCCTCCTCACCCGCCAGCCCCGCAGTGGTACAGCCGGGGAACCTCTCCTTCCCCGCACCCAGCAGGTCCCAGCGAGGGGCGGGTGCTGCGTGCGCCGCCGCTGCCCTCAGCGGTTCAGCCCGGCTGTAACACCCCATCCCCGCCGTGCGATCCAGCGGACAAGGGTTTTAAGATTTTTGTTTTGTTTGTTTGTTTTTCTGACAGGTAATTATTTTTTTTTTATGAGGTAACAGCCGTGGGGCAAGAGAGTGGACATTCCACGGTCGCACCAGCCGGCTGCGCTGCCACAAGGAGAAATTGTTGAACTGTGCCCTCAGTACGAGCGTGCTGACACAGTAATGGTGTATATTCTGAAATACAATGATACAAAAAGAGTTTATCCTCATACCCTCTTGCTCCTCCTCAGAAATGCTCCAACAGACATGAAGAAATATATAAAATGCTTGTAAATCAGTTCGGGGAGCTTGTTAGAAGAGTAAGCAAGTGTGTAGCACATTCAATTTTTTTTTTCCAACTAAAATGCTTACTTCAGGCTAGGAACTCAAAAGCAGCGTGACCAGTAGGTCGAGGGAGGTGATTCTGCCCCTCTGCTCTGCTCTGGTGAGACCCCACCTGGAGCACTGCATCCAGCTCTGGACTCCCCAGTATAAGAAGGATATGGACCTGTTGGAGTGAGTCCAGAGGAGACCACAAAGATAATCAGTGGACTGGAGCACCTCTCCTATGGGACAAGCTGAGAGAGCTGGGATTGTTCAACATGGAGCAGAGAAGGTTCTGGGGAGGCCTTAGAGCATCTTCCAGTACCTAAAGGAGCTACAAGAAAGGTGGAGAGAAACTTTTTACAAGGGTCTGTAGTGACAGGACAAGGGGACATGGCTTTAAATGGAAAAAGAATAGGTCTATATTAGATATTAGGAAGAAATTCTTTACTGTGAGAGTCGTGAGGCACTGGCACAGGTTTTCCAGAGAATTTTTGAATGCCCCATCCCTGGAAGTGTTCAAGGCCGGGTTGGGTGGGGCTTTGAGGAACCTGATCTAGTGGAAGGTGTCCCTGCCCATGGCAAAGGGGTTGGGACTAGATGATCTTTAAGGTCTCTTCCAACCCAAACAGTTCTATGATTCTATGAGTCAGCTGTCCTGGCCATGCTCCTCCCAGCTTTTTGTGCACTTCCTCACTGGCAGAGCATGAGACGCTGAAAAGTCCTTGACTAAGGGTAAGCACTACTTAGCAACAACCAAAACATCAGTATATGTCTCAACATTTTTCTCATACTGTATCCAAAACAGAGCACTGTACCAGCGACTTAAAAAAAATGAACTCTGTGCCAGCCAAAACCAGGACACCATGGCAGGGAGCTGGAAACTAGATGAGCTTCAAGGTCACTTCCAACCCTAACTATTCTATGATTCTGTGATTCTCTATCATCGCTATAACACATGATCAAGCCAAGATCTTTAGGGGGAATTAATAAATAAATACTTCAAGCTAGCTAGCATGAATATTAGTAGTGTTGATAAAGCCTGATCCTTAAGGGTACATAGTTAAAAAGTAAAATAAAAGGGTGATCTGCTTAGAAAAAAATATTTTTGAGTTGCCTATTTGCTTAGTAGTCCATGATGAGATTTTTGTCTGAAATTATCATTTTTTGTTCAAATAGAATATGAGGTTATATGCTTATCTGGTAAGGTGCATTTCAGCCTACCTTATCTGTGCATGTTAAGTAGAAGTTAGCATGTGAACAGTACTTTTGAAGACACAGGTTAAAAAACAATCCAGTGTAAATCATTTATCTGGCTGTAGGTTTCCAAAGTTACAGTATAGTACACATTTAAGCTTATAGGGCTTCTGTGTGCCTGCCTTCGTGCTGGGCAGTGAAGCACCCTGAGAGAACAGACACAGCTGACAGCCAAGCATTCCACTACAGTTTTTTTTCAGAGAGATCAGGTCTTCAAACCTTTTTGTTGTGCATTTGCTGTGTGGACACCAGCAAAAGAGAGGAAGAAGGTGGGAAAGGGAAGATAGATGAAGAGGAGATGACAGATTTTGGTTCTAGTGTAGTGCCAGGCCAGATCCTTGCCAAACTCCAACCTGAGAGTACAACTCCCAAACCTGTTTTACCAAATCTGAACAGCCTGCTCAAAGTTTTAGTTTAATCTTTCCACGGGAAAATTGGTTCCCCATCAGACGTGTACGTGTCACAGTTACTTGGCCTTGGAGTCTTCTGTGAATGTTTACAATTTCTTATCCAGGTTGTCTTCATACTGACATCTACAAAACAGTTATGCCCCTTATGCATATTTTAAAAATACATATAAAATATAGTTAAACAGTAAGTAAGAGATTCTGTTACCAGTTGAAAGTTAAAAATGAACTTTTTCTGACATTAGGGGTAGCATAAATGCTTCAGCCCAACACTTAATTAATGAAGTTGGCAGGAAGATTTCTATTTTCGTTAGTGGGTGATGGATCAGGCTTAAATATAGAGGGATAAGAGCATAGAATATCTCGAGTTGGAAGGGATCTGTGAGGATAATCAAGTTCAACTCTGTGCTTCTTGCAGGACTACCTGCAGGTAAACTATGTGACTGAGAGCATCGTACAGGAATTCCTTGAACTCTGACAGGTTTGGTGCTGTGACCACTTCCAGTGACTGAGCATCCTCTCAGTGAAGATCCTTTTCCTAATGTGGAATCTGAACTTCCTTGGTGCATCTTTATACTTCTTCAACATAAACCGTTCTATTTATGGATCTCTCTGTGTAGACAAACTTGATTTTAATTCTGCTGGTGAAGGATAGACCTGGATTTTACGTGTCCATTGTGCAGAATAACAGTGCAGTTATAGCAGAGAATAGTAATGGTTGCATTATTCCTGCATGCTATTTATAGCTGACTACATCTTTGTGCTCTGTGCATGAGTCAAAGGTCGTACACTCCCAGGATCTGCATTCCTTCAATACATCTCGGGGAATTACAGAAATGCAGTCTGCTTGAGTTTGAAATTACCATTCTTCAAAAATATAGTAATCATGTACCATTTTGCCTTCTGGACAGTTTTGGTCAAGGCTAGAACCCCAGCCTGATATTTTAACTGCTTTCCTTCCATGCAGATTTTGTACCGCATCAGATTCGAGGTGCTTAACATTCAGGGCAACACCCAAAAAAAGATGGGCTGATGGCACAGTCAGCAGCTTAATATCTCAGCACACCAGAGCAAGAAAGAGAAGGGCTGGTTTGAGTTTGTGGGATGAATTCCTGTGGGAGCAAATAATTAGCACTGTCCTACATAGAATGTAAAAGATGGGATAAAAGGGACATGGTGGTCACATTTCTTAGTTTTCTACCAGAAGTATTTTTGATGCTGCTGTAGGAGGTGTATTCTCAGATTCTGGCCAGAATATCCCATTGCAGTCCCTAATTTGGGAAAGAAAATTTTCCTTGTTTGGATTTTTTTAGACAAATTGTTACCATTAAGTAGAACAGGAATGATAGAAATCATGTTGTGGTAAAAGCTGTTCCTTCTACCCTTGAGTAAGATTTCTTCATAAAATGTCTTGAAGGTGGTGGTCTGAGGTCATAGGTTTGTGTAGTCAAGAAATATTGAGAGTTGAGGCAAGAAGGTATTTGTGGTTAATTGAGGCATTTGAAAGGTTTCAGAACTCATGAATGGTTGTATTCTAAGAATATCTGATTGTGGAGCACCAGAAATACTTAATCCTGGTTTCCCACAATTTTGTGTCCTCTGTGTTTACATCATCTATGCCTCTGTCTTGCCACAACAGGATAGATAACTTTAGTGCTCAACAGAGACAGTAACTTGGGTTTTTCTCCTTGACTCAGATATTGATCTTCATGATACTTAGAGAATTTTATCATCTCAGAGACTTCTGTTCCTCTTTCATATTTGTTCACAATCAGCAGATTGATTCCAAACGTGTATGAGAGGGAAGAGTAGAAACCAATAGATAAGCAGACATCATACACAGTCCTTTTTCTTTTTTTTTTTTTTTTTTTGTGAAAACTAGGCTAAAAGTGACAGTCTTAACATTAAAGATAAATTAGGAGTTTGTCTTTATGAGTTTATATTTATAAACTATTAAGTTTTGACTGCAAAGTGGGAAGATGTAAGTCTATCTAACCTTCAATTAATTCAAAGCCAGATTTGTTCTGTGAGGTACTGATGATTAGAAGAGAATGGCAGACCATAGGGAGAAGTTTATGAGGTAGCTGATATACATGCAGAGAAACCTTACATGCATTAACACAGGATTCTAGTATAGCTATGGAGTTAGATGAGGGATCTGGAGTGCTCTGTGATATAAAAGTAGGCCTTGAGGCAAAAAAAAAAGAAAAAAAGATAGGAAGGAAGATGGCAGAGCCATATCCATTTAAAAGAATGCCTTTAGTGGTATAAAGATAAAACATAAGTAATTGGGTTTCAATTGGAGGATATCACTGCAGGTAATGTAAACAGCTAGTTACATTGTACCCAAAAACTACTCTTTTCACAGTTTCTTTATGCTGCCATAGCCTTGTACTGGGCTTGTGTGGCAAGGTTTTGGCAGAGGGGGGCTGTAGGGATGGCTCCTGTGATGGGCTGCCAGAAGGTTCCCACATGTCCAAAGGAGCAATGCCATAATCCTGTTTACAGAAGTAAATGTGTGACTGCAGCTAGAAAAAGTGAGGAGTCTGGCAGCAGGATTTGCGGAAAAAAAATATTTGCTGTAGCTCAGAATGAGTAAACAGTAGCATATATTAGAGCAGTGGTTTAAATCAGTCATCATGAAAATTAATCAAACCAGTGAACAGAAAACTTTGATTTAAATGATGGTTTATAATCTTAAATTACAGTTGTATTGTTTCTTAAAGACTGATTTTTCCCTGATTGTTAACCATTAAAATGTGCTGATTATAATCTTTATGCATAATTTAGCATTTCTTTTTGCTAACAAAGCGGACATGCTATAGCTACATACGTCTAAGACATTTCAGATTTTAACATAACATCTTAATTTTTACATACATTTCACTATTTTGAAAGATGATGTCTGTTTCATTTCTTTTTTTTTGCTAAGTAATTATTGCACTTCTACTTGTGATTCATATGAGACTCCTAGTGGATAAATACAGGAATTGAAAGAAAACAATGAGGGAAAAAATCTCTTTGTAGTTGCTTTTAGTTAAATAAAATTACTATAAGTGTATGTGTGCCTTATTCTTAAGAAGATTGTCTAAGTATGCTTTGCACTGAGAAACTTTTATTAAAAAATGGAAGTATACTTGCAGGAATATAATTTGATTTGAACACTCAGTCTTTCAAACATGTAGAACTAGGAGAGATCATCCAGTCATCTCCAGCTCTTTTTTTATTTATGGATGGAAATAATGGATAATTCATTTAAGTGAGCTGGCTGAATAAACAGAAATGAAGGAAATACTGCCACCTTGCTTGCAGAAAAAGATACTTGTCAAAAAATGATTCAACACTTCAGCAAACCAAGATTAATCCTTCAGCAACTTGAACAGAAGGTCCATACTGCTTAATATTGCTACTTCTGTAGTATTGTTATTATTTTGTTTTGCAAAGCAAACATGTTTAAAATTAAATTTTAAATCAACCAATCTGATTGATTTTATTAATATTTTATTTTAGAGACGGAGAGAAGTTACCAGGGAAGAACGTTTTTTTGCCTTACATTTAAAATCAAGCACAAAGTCAGGATCTTCTAGAAACCAGGTACTTTTCCTCATGTGTAAGAAGGCTGTTTATGGTTGGAGGAGCCTGTCTTTTATCAAAGTTGTAAAAAATATCATTCGAATATATAAATCTTTAATATTGCTGCAGAATATTTGTTCTTTGACTTCTGATGTGTTTTGGAATGAGCAGCAGTTCATAGTACCATCAGCTTTGTTTAAAGTAAGTGCAAGTGAAATGAAGTTATATTCACAAATAAAATCAGGATAAATCATATTGATAAAAAAACCCTAGTGGTAAAGGAAAAAAAATACAAAGATATGGAGACAATCTTGCTGAGTGATAAGGATTTTTATCCTTTTTTTTGCCATTCCAGCTCTGGTCTTCTGGTGCCTGCGCTGTTCTCAGCCCCAGAACAAATGAAAATCTGTGGCATTTGGGGGCAGTGATTTTCCTCACGCTGGTAAGGCCAGTGGCCCCGTGTTGTAGTTCAGCTTGTTGGTCGTTAGATGACAGTAGCTCCCCGGGCATTTTTGGGTTTTGGCTTTTCTGACATGTTCGAGCGTGAGATGAGAGAACAGCAGGGGCTTGGAACTGGGGTCTCGTTAGGGGAACACAGGCAGTAACTCCATGCATTCTGTCCCCCTTCAAAAAAATCCAAAAAACAAAACAAACCAACCAACCAACTAACCAAAAAACACAACAGAAAAAGAGATTTACGACTGAAAAAAAATAAGGCACTCCAAGAGCACGGGACTGAGTAATGTCAAATTTTCTGAGCTCGATCCGACCCCAGCCATTTTACTACAACAAGTCTGAGGTGCAAATAAAGCAGCAGGGTATTGTCAGGTTGTTCTCCCATCTATTCTGCTCCTGCCAGCTTTGTACAGGCACAGAAATGCACTGTTTTGTTGGCTTGGTGCCAGGAGAGGCTCTTTGTATGCTGAGGTGATACATTAGTGGCTCCCTGTGCTGTGGCAAGGTCGAGTTCTATTGCTGATGTGTGAAGTGACAGAATTGCAGGATCTAGTTGTGATTATGAAAAGAATTATAACTTGACAGCACACTGCTTTGCTGAAAATACCATTGTGTTCCTAGAACGTTTTCAATGATATGCCAAATTAACTGAACGATGCATTAATTGAAAAGGAAAAGATCTGAGTGAGACTGCTGCAGTTAACAATGTGCAGTTCCTCCTTAAGTGCAGACCTTTTAAGCCTTTTTTTCATCTCAGTCTCAAAGCACAGAGCTTCTTTAACAAGTGCTGCTCTATCCATTTTGTAGCTGAGGAAACTGGAACATCAAAATTTGATGATATGTACGTGATCATCCAGGAAGTGTCCGATATATCTGGAAATGGAACCTGGGTGGGTTCCTGATCTCTATTCTTGTGCCTTAACTGGCAGATTAATTTTCCATTTGCTGCACTCTTTATATGATAATAACGTTGCTTTTTTCCGTGAGATACTCTGAGCTAGTGTCCAGATTAGAACAATGACTGTGACAACCGTTTTCTCTTTGATTGAGTACCATAAAAGTGCACAGTGCTTTCAAGTAAGCACATGTGTCAACAAAGAATGCAATGCCTATTCCTTGACTTAAAAGTGTCTTTTTTTATTTGCATGAAGTTCAGACTTCACTTCACAGGATGCTACTCCATGGATTTCCACTGTTTTTTTTCTGACGTCAGTGAGGTTGTAGCTGTATAAGTGAAGTTTTCAAAGTAAGCATTTAATAATCAAGTAGACATCAGAGTGTATTTCGTGCTGGCTCTTAGCTCAAGGATATGCATTATTGCTGCTGAGTGGGCTTTCATTGCAGCTATATCTCAGTTTGACTTGTAAGGCTCCTAAAGGAATGTCTTGTTTTCATGCTGTATTTGTCTTGCTCTTTTTTGTAATTTATTTACTTTGGAGAAGAGAACCAAACTTAAGCATCTGTTTCTCAATGAGACCGGGGAAGGTTGGGGGGGGGATGTTTTCACCCAGTATTACAGGTGGTTTCAGTGAAGAACATGACAGTTAAGTGAGTAGCCCAAGGTAATTCGGCCTTCCCAGAAATGTTAAACTCTTCTGGCTCCTTGTCTTCTACACCAGTCTAGCTGCTAAATCATATTAGCTCCCAAATGAGATGAAACTTTGAGAACTGGAAGTCACTTTTCATACTGTCTAATTGCCCATCTTCTGTGGGAAAATGGCTGTAAAAATCCTGCCTGGGAATCCTGCCGAAATTGCTTTTATAATGCTAAACAAAGCTTTTTGCATCTAATAGTTTTTTTATCTGTAGACATTAACTCACACAGAGGATACATACAAAAAGTTGAGCACACCTTTCACTGGACCAAAGCAAGAGTGTGTGAGGTGAGGTTGTGTTGATCTGCCCAGCAGAAAACAGATGCCTTTTAAGAAAAAGGCAACAGTTTCTGCTGTAAAGAAACAATATAAAAAGAAAGGGAAAGAATTCTCTCAAAGCATCTTTTCTTCTATAAAGATTTTTAAAAGACAAGCATTTCCAGTTACTCAAAATTTTTCTTTCCAATATTATTCTAAGGATTTCTTCTCTCCATGATTTTCCCTTTTCCATTCTTTTTGTTCCATTATGGGTAGTCTTGTGATGACCACTACAATTTGAGGCAGTGAGGAAAGGTTTGTGAGGAGAATCTGTAATTAGATGGATACAGAGTGGTAAAAAATGGCCACACTTTAAGGCACAGGTGTGATCTGAGGTTTGTTTGTCCAGTATCTTATCTGTGTTTGTTACTGTGTCATCTGGAGTAATAATAGGAAAAAAAAACCCTGTGAGTTTTATTTTCCATTTGTCTGTCCACTTTATCTGCCCATCCCTGTTTCAATCGTGAAAACATTTGTGAAAACAAAGGGAGTCAAAATACAGACAAAGTTAAACAGAAAGAGAATGCTAAAACTTTTGGGTTTGCTTATTCTCGGGGTGGGGGGTGGGGGGTTGTTTGCTTTTGGGAGAGGGAGATGGCTTCTAATAGCAAAACATTACTTAAATAAGGAAATTATACTGCATAAATAAATTGTACATATAAATTTATGTAAGACAAAAGCTGTTAACTGAAAATACACACCCAATCTTAAAGCTGAACTTGCATCTTTGTATCTTTTTAAAAATATTAGTTGATTTTACATATCAACTTTATAAACAAAATATGTGTGTCTTTCAGTTTTGTGGCTTACAGTGTAATATTACCTACTGATGTAAAGGTATTTCACCCATATTAAATCCCCATTTGATATTTAACTTTCTTAAAATACAAACTATTTAATGTAAATACTTCTCTAATTGAAAATTTTTCCCAATTTGCTAATAAGGTGAAGCTAAAGATATATATATCAAGCTAGTGGATTGACATAACTGTTGCATAATCAGCTATTCCAGGATAACAGCTCTTGCTTGGATAGGCTCTTCCAGAACAAAAAAAAATGGTTTATTCCAAAATAACAAGTCTTTTTACAAAGTAGAATAACTCTTCAATGATTGGATTATTGTATGCTGAAATAAAATATTCACCTGGGAATAGCTGGTTCAACCAAATAATCAAATATTTTAGTTAGTTTCTCTGGGGTAGCTCAGGTAAGATGTTGGCATCCTGAGGTTTTCAAATTAGGGGAAATTAAGTAAGTTTTGACTCAAACAAGTACCTAGCTCATTGTATCACTCCTAACCCATAAAGACAAACAGTATGAAATTTTGGAAGAACAATGTTTGGGAGATGTTTCTCTATAACAAAATGTTATATTTTGCTTGACTTCTTGTAAAGTAACATTCACATTCAGTTCGCTTCAACATTATCATACTTACTGTGGTGACAAACTCAGCTGATGTGTTTGGCTGACATTGTTCACTTCTGCCCTTAGTTTAGGCCACTGGAATTCTTAGCACTTCCAGAGGGTTTCCATTGGCTCCTACAGATTCAGAGCTCTTCCTGCTGTGATAGCAGACCATCATCTCACCCAGATATTAGTCCAATGATCAGGCAGCAGAGTGGTGACAGAGTGAGACACATAGTGTCTTTTCCTACAGATTAATCACATAATTGTCTGTCAAATTACTCAACTTTCCTCCATTGGCACTGGGACTGAGACTGTCTCTATTCCTGCCAAAGAATATTTCCTTATCTTTGACTGTATTTTCCAACTTGTGCAGGCTATCTCTGCCTATTATTTTTCTGACATCATACATTTTGCTGTCAGTAATCCAGCAACACACAAATAATTTGTTTTTATGTCTGTAATTTATGCTCCAGAGTCGAGTAAATTGCTGCACTTCAGACCCAATCCAAAGTCTAATTAAGTCATTGGAAACATTCCAGTTGACTTCACTAGGCTTTACATCAGGCCCATAAGTAGTACTTGCCTGCCACTGAGTCAGAACTTATAAAAGACAAACAAAGTGGAACATTTTTTACCATTCTTAGCCAGTCATGGTAAGGGAAAATAGCGAAAAACAATCAGAGTACAGTTTAAATTTCAACTATTTCAGCTGCTAATCCTAAATAATGCTTCATTCAAGTCACAGTTTCACAGTGAAAAAACTACTTAAACATCGCTGCATTAAAGGATTTAAGAAGAAGTTTCTTTTATTTATTCTTGATTTTTTTTTATATTTTAATTTCCTATTTAGTGGATTCTACATCATGCTAACATGAGTGAAGCTCTTGTGATTGCTAAATGTTACTTTTATTTTCAAAGTTTCATTCTTACATGTTATAGGGAGCAAAGTGCTGCAGCTAACACCAAATGTGTGAATCACTTGATGAACAAGAAAAATTAAAAATATAAGAAAAAGAATATTTATTTTCTCTTCTACAGAATCCAGGTAGCATTGTGATAAACTAGGGACTCTTGCTCCTCCTAGTAATGCTAAAAATTGCTCAAACTGTTAAACTTTTCTTAATAGAACTGAACTTGAAATGTTTAAAAGACCCACCACACTGTGAGTTTTCCTCAGGGGTGCAGCAGACTTTGGAAGGTAAACAAGCTGTAGCACTGTGCTGTGGGTGCAGGTGGCTAATTAGTGCTCATCCCTATCTTTAATCCCAGGGGAAGGGAGAAAACCTTTTAAATCTCACTGTCAAAAATGGATGTAGTCAAGCTGGAAAGGAAGCCATGACAAGCTGACTGTGTAGAAGCTCTTGTGAACAGTTAATTCAATTATATCTTTAATGCAAATATCTTTGGTATACGGTTGCATTTGCATATCTCTCAGCTAGGACTTAAGTAAACATTTTTAGTACCTTCATTGAAATTAAATTTGTGAAAAATAACTTCAGCATCTACAAGGCAATAGATTAAAGTACCATTCATGTACTAAATGAAAAGGAAGATTAACTGTTTCAGGGTGCCAGAGAAGAATCTGTCAGAATCCAAAAGTCTGAATTCTCACGATTCTAAACAGGTCAGATAAGGTCAGATTCACAGATTTAATTAGGTATCTAAT